CACACACACACACACACACACACACACACATGCGGAATAATTCACCAATGCTAGTTACGGTGAGGTATTTCACTCGGGGCTTTTGTTTTTTCCTCGGTTTTTAAGCAATGATAACCGCTGGCTCGATAGTGAAGACAATGATAATAGGTTTTTCCTAGTTTATACTTTGGAAAAAATAATGAGTACGACGGATAGTGCATGTTGTCTAGACGTTGGGTGCGCAATTTTTATTGAAAGAGAGCGGGTCAAGTGTCAATTTCTCAACAAATGAAATCATCGAAGTATGAAAATTCATTTTTGCGAACAATATTGGATTCTTGACGAATTTATGAAAATTGGTAAAATACTATTTTCAAGAAGAAAAATTTGGAATTCTTTTTTTTTAATTTAACGTTCATTTTTGTGAATTTGGGATCATCTATCTCAATTAATCTCAATTTTAAATGAAATTATCGAAATATGAAAATTGATTTTGAGAAAAAATTTATTTTCTTAAAGAGTTTGCAAAGCTAGATAAAAAACTATTTTAAATATTTATTACTAATTTTATAAAAGTATATTTTCGATGGAAAAAATTATTTGAAATAATTTCTATTTCCAGTCTACGAAATGATTTATAAAACTACTTTGAATAATTAGGTTTTATTAGTTGAAATCAAGACGAGAAATTCTGAATTCTCTCTTTCAATTTCACATTAATTTTGTACATTTATGAACATCAATCTCAATCAGTGTCAATTTCAAATGAAATTATCGAATTATAAAAATTGGTTTTGAGAAAAAATTTATTTTCTTAAAGAGTTTGCAAAGCTAGATAAAAAACTATTTTAAATATTTATTACTAATTTTATAAAAGTATATTTTCGATGGAAAAAATTCTTTGAAATAATTTCTATTTCCAGTCTACGAAATGATCTATAAAACTACTTTCAATAATTACGTTTCATTAGTTGAAATCAAGAAGAGAAATTTTGAATTCTCTTTTTTAATTTCACACTAATTTTTTTAAATTTATGGACATCAATCTCAATCAGTCTCAATTTCATCACCATTAAATAATTACAATCGTATATCTATTTGATATTAATTTAATATTCCCCGGTGTTATAACTACCTGCCATTTCCAAGTCATAAAGCCCGAGAAATAAATGAGTATTTGAATAATTTAAATCCACGAAATTTCATTCAACAGAAATGATGAACATCTCCCAAGATTATTCTATGTAATCAGACAGATGAAAAAATTGGATTCATCTCCCTTTCCATTTTAAAAACCCAAATTAATAAATTCTAACAATATTCTCTTTCGAAAAATGAAATTAACAAAATAAAAACTTGTTCACTGAGAAATTCTCCCGTCCTCACCCAATGCCACTATGAAGCCTTCAATCTCCTCCACCCCCATCCAATAAAGATGTCATGATTTACTATTCAGCTCTCGTGAACGACTGAAACACCCGTCCAAAATAAAATGCAAACAAAATCCTCAGCATTGAGATGCACTCGAAATATTCACATTGTCAATGATGCCAAATTGTCAATCTATCAACTCATTATCTAATTGAAACCGAATACACGGAGAGAAATGTTCAGTAAAAATTACGGAACTCACAATTCGCTCACCGATTACGGAATCAACTCAGAAAATTTAAGTGAGGGTATCGTAATTTTTCACAGGAGATTCAGATGAAAATTAGGGAACACTCTGGAAAAATTTTGTGACAGTACCGTAAATTTTCCTACAACCACATTTCCCTCCGGGATTACGGAAAAGATAAGTAATTTTTATTGAATATTTCTCTCCGTGTACCTCCATCATTATTTCGAATCGTCAAACATGATAAATAAACTAGCACTCAAATAATTTAAATCGATGCAATACTATTTGAAATGATTGATGAATTTCTTTTCAAAATTACTTCATTCTATTATTCGAACTATTTTCGTAACTGCGACTAGTGATGCCATCGAGACGAGTCGAGAATTATTTCGACGAGATCATCACGGTCTGGAAAAACATCGAAAGTTTTGGAATCGTCGCAATCTCGAAAGACATTGGATCGTTGCATCTCGTCACAATTCCGGGAGGATTTATCTTGCCTAGATCTCGAGACTTTCGGTTTTTTAAGTTCACGAGAGACGAGACAGATATCGAGACAAACATTTGAAAAACAGAAAATACTGAAACTCAGACGTGATGGATTCTTCCAAGTTCGCGACGAGATGTAACGATCCAACGTCTTTCGAGATTACGACGAATCCTAAACTTTCGACATTTTTTTAGACCGTGATGATCTTTCCAAAATAATTCTCGTCTAGTTTCGACGGCATCACTAACTGCGACGCATTCCAACGGAATGCAAAATCGAATGTTTCATTTCAGTTTTGGAATGGCAAATGAATGAATAGTATTTGCTCAGATCCACGTGCAATAATCCCGAATTATGTTCAGGACGCATAGGTGACAATGGAATACTACTTGTGTCGATGCATCGGTAATTTTGCAATTGCGGCTACAATGTTACATTTTTTATTTTCATGACTTCACCTGTTACACTTTTTTTTTTAATTTAACGTCAATCTCAATTAGTCTCAATTTCATCATGATTAAGCAATAAAAATAGTATTCCCATAAAATATCAACAAATGAAATTATCGGAATATAAAAATTCATGTTGAGAAAAAAATTTTTTTTTTTATAAAAGTTTGCAAAACTAGATTAAATAATATTTGGAATATTTATAACTAATAGACATTTCGGAGACGCTAAAAGTATATTTTCAATGTAAAAAGTATTACAAATAATTTGGTTTCAGTAGTCGGAGTTAACGAGAGAAATTTTGAATTCTCTTTGTTTAATTTCTCATTCATTTTTGGTCAATTTGAGAACGTCAATGTCACTCAATTAGCCTCAACTTCATAATGAATAAAATAAAAATCGTATTCCCATATAATAATAACAAGTGAAATTATCAAACTATTTTAATTAAATTATCGGAATAATTTTCAATGGAAAATAAATTTATCAAATAATTTTAATCACTGTAATACTATTTGAAATGACTGACGAATTTTTCTTTTCAAAATCACTCTCACTCTATAATTCGAACTATTTTCGTAACTGCGACACATTCTGACGTAATGAAACATCAAATATTTTTGAATATATTTTTCATTTTTAGAACGACTAACGAATGAATACTATTCACTCAGATTCATATGAAATAGTTCCCAGTTATCTTCATGACGCATATGCAGCAATGGAATATTACTTGTGTCGATGATTTTGCAATAGCAACTACAATGTTACATATTTAATTTTCATGACATCACCTATTGTACATTGTTTCGCGAATTATTCTACGAGTCCACCTATATCCGCTCCGATATTATTTCCACGATATGAAGAAAGCCATTACGCCAATTTCCTCTGCTGATTACCCCACAATATCTTCATTGCAATTTATTTATTCGTTCTAAATCGAGCTAGTGCAAACTAACTGCACATTATCGTCGATAACTCGCAACCGGTAGAGTCGAATTTCTCCATTTTTTTTTCGTTTTAAAGGTCTTTTATCGAGCTGTAAAATGAACTTCGACTCATCGAAATCGCATCGTTGGGTCGCAAGATATCGACAATTAAACACAATCATTTTTGCTCGAAAATCTTTAACTTTAATTTTTTTCGAACGAGTGGACGTACATCCCATTGAAATTAACTCGAGATTATGTGTCCTTGGATCTACGAACCCGTTTGAATACATATATCTCTCATTATTTCTGCCGAATATTCAGATATTTCGTAAATGGAATCGATCTTTCGTGCGAGACTCCCTTCTTATTTCTTCATTTCTCTACAATCTACCTCTGGTCATTCTCATGGCCAATGATCCATTAGTTAACAACATAGCGACCGGTTACACACGTGGATGGCCTATACGTTTCACCATAAGTCCGCGGCAACAGTGAATTCAATACTTCTTGGGCGACTGACCTTGACGGGTCAGCGGATCATAGAAACTGAAAACCTCGGGATCGCGTGGACAGGGACATGTAGACAAGACGAAGGGTTTCACCGCCAGTCAATGACTCCTTGGAGGGAATTTTTCTTTTTTTTTCTTTTCGAGGATAAAAATAATGACAACGACTGAATGCGTCATTCGGAGGGGATTTCCCGTGCGTCTACGGGGAATTGTTTACACATTTTTAAGTTCAATATTTGACCGATTGCAAGTGTCTTTGAGTGTTCAAGGTTCTAAACACATTTCCGTTGGTGACTTTCCCTGGAGTATTGAAACATCCGTTGGTACATGGGAAAAATGGGATTTTAGAGAATTGCGCGCGGATTATTTGTATGATTCTGGGAAAATGTTGGGAAATTTTTTAGTTCATTCTCATGGTTTTGGAGATTTTTAATGGTTATGTTTTTTAATTCGATATTTGACTGATTGCAGTGTTTTTTGACTTTTTGTTAATTGAATTAGATTAAGGTCCGGTTGCATATCTTTGATTAATATCGTTTTCTAGGGGGCTACGCTCTCCGCTCGCCAACGCCTATATGACCTCCATATGACCCCCGTATGGCGCCCATGGTACTTATTCTGACCCTTGTGACCCTTATTTAGACCCTTGTTTCTTTTATTTGGTCCCTTAATGTGACCCTTGTAATCCTCATTTGGACCTTTATTTTGACCCTCATGATCCTCAATCTGACTCTTGTCCTCATGACC